AGAAGAAAAGCTAAAGAAGGAATAAAAAACTAGAAGCATTTACTCCTGCTTCATTTCCTGTCTCCAATGAAAATCAACTCACAAGATATAGAATATCCTGCAGTAAATTATCTCCTACCACTCCCCCTAACATATGTTCATTCTCCAAAGAGTGCATTTTCAAGATGCGTTTGGCTTTCCTGCAAGTATATTCCAATTTATTAGGTTTATAAGACTGGAAAAGCAACTGTTACATGAACTAATTCCCAAACTAGTAATACACAAAGTTATAGGTAATATCCACAGATACTTCAGTAGTTAAGGAGATAACAGATAAAGTCGTGAATGTTCTGTACTCCTAAAATTAACTGCTGCCATGACAAAAAGTTGTAATTATCAGTAGTACTGCATTGAGTGAGGGAAACTATAACCATTCAAACATATTAAGAGAATGTTTTTTTAAAAGTATAGATATAAATGGTGATCATTACTCCACAATCATGAACAGTTTATGCCCACATATGAGTATAATCTTACCCTTCTGGTTTTGTTTCCTAGACATTGCAGTTTCTTTGATCTCGAAAGATAAAGAAGAAAAATATCCTTTGCCTTGTCTGGATTCTGACTGCAGTTATCTCTGATGTAAAGGTAGGCAAGAGAAGTCTATAGTTGGAGGTAACAAATACAAAATCCTGGTTATTCGAAATTCTGCTCTCTAGCTGGTGATCTCCTTTTCTTCTCTATCAACTTCATGTCAGGAAATATCATTGCAGACATTCATGACTCTTTTTCCATGGAGATTCTGGAGAGAAAACACACATACATATTCACTGTTACAGTAATAGCTATCATATGAAAATTCTAAGAGATATACACAGGTTTTATTTTGTATTTTTTTAAACAAAACTGGTTATTAAAAGTACTCTGGGGGGCCGGCCAAATGGCTCAGTTGTTTAAGAGCCTGAGCTCTGAGCAACAGGGTTGCCAGTTCGATTTTCCCATGGGCCAGTGAGCTGCGCCCAAGCTGAGCTGCCGCTGAACTTCCAACAGGTGGCAGGATGGCTCAGCTGGTGAGAGCACGTGCTGCTAACAACAAGGTTTCCGGTTCTACTCCCGCATGAGATGAGGGCTGCACCCCGCCGCCCCACAACTAAGATTGAACACATCACCTTGAGTGCNAAAAAAAACTAAAACATTTAAGAACTGTGATATTTAAAATCAAACAAATCTTCAATTATTAAGGTCAGTATAAATTAACTGGTAGAATTCCTGAGAATCTGAAGGAGAGTGAGGAAGAAGAAATCATGCTTTTAAAATTGTACATTAGATATGAAAGATATTTTTTGTCATTATAAAAGACTGCTTTGGATGTTCCTTCTAGCCCTGTCACATAGTCAATGTCTTCCCTCTTCATTCCACCCCATTCCCTTACTTCAAACTACAGAAATGACCAAGTCAATTCTAATGACATGCTTCTCTCTCCAACAGAACCACCACCTTTCTCACAAAACCACAACACTGCAAAATCTGTCACTCTTCACTCATTAACCTCATGCAAATAAGAATTAAATCTGTTAGCTGCTTCTTTCTTAAACTGACTTATAGATCAATCATCTACTTTGATTATAAATATTTCTATTTCCAAATAGTTGTTACAATCGTTATAAGGTGAACACTAGCTTTTAGGTGTTAAACTCATAAAGGTAAAAAACTCGCTACTTAAATAGCACACTTGTTTAAAGCCTATTCTGTCCTAATGAAATGTCTTAAAATTTTTTTATTGTGAATTATAACATTTACAGTGCACACACTCATAAAACACCATAGCTTGATAATTTATCACAAAACAAACACCCAGATATTACTACCCAAGAAATAAAATACTTCTACTACCCCAGAAGTCTTCCTCATGTCCCCCTCAATCATTATGTCCTTCCATTTGCCAAAGGTAACCCACTCTCCAAACTTCCTTTCTTTATAGTTGATTTCACCTAAGAACACATACCTAAGGTACAGACAAAAGTTTTACTTTTGTCTATAAAAGAAATAACTCCGTATGTATTTTATTTTTGGTGTACAGATTGTTTTGTTCAATATTGTATTTATAAGATTCATGCATGTCCTTACAAGTAAATATAGTTTGTTCATTTTCTTTGCTGAATAATATTTCATTATATGATTATGCCATTGTTTATTTCTCTATTCTTATAGTGACGGACAATTGGGTTGCTTCTAGTTTCTGGCCAATAAAAACAATGCTGTTTTGAATAATCTTGTACAGATCTCCTCGTGTGCTTCGGAATGCATTTCTGCAGAGTATACCCAGGAATAAAACCTAGTCACAGGGTATGCGTATCTTCAACTTTAGTACATAATTTTAGCCATTTTAGTACAAGAGTAATAGTATCTCATTATCATTTCAATTTGCAATTCACTCACTTCTAAAGAGATTGAGTGCCTTTACATATGTTATTAACCATTATGATATTCTGTTTACTGGCATGTCTACTCTTGCCCAGTTATTTGGAAGCAGAATTGTCTTTTTCTTATTGATCTGTAGTTCTTTATTATTTAAACATGATGTAAATTTCTTTTCCCATTCTGTGACTTGCCTTTTCACTCTCTTAACTGTGTCTTTTGATCAACAGAAGTTCTTAATTTTAATGTAATAATGCATTGACATTAATTCTTTTTCTTTAATGATTAATGCTTTTTATGTCTATTTAAAAAGTCTTTCCTTGAGATGATGTCAGAAACTTGCTTCAAAATAATCCACTAGGGGATAGGTTGAAGTACAGAAAAGATTGGCCATCTGTTAATCATTGGACTTGAGTTATGGGTATAGGGGAGTTCACTGTACTATTCTATTTTTTATAAGCTTAAAATTTTCAATAATAAATTTTTTAAATAAATGTTATTTAAAATTCCTGGAATTAAAAAGTGGTTATATCAAAGTTGTAGGATACAATGTTACTAAACAAAAGTCTATCACTTTCCCATACAACAGCAATGAACAAGTGGAATTTGAAGTAAAAAAAAAAACCCACCATTTACATTAGCACCCCCCAAAATGAAATACTTGAGTATCAATCTAACAAAGTATGTGTAACACCTATATAAGGAAAACTACAAAACTCTGAGGGAAAAAATAAAAGAACTAAATAAATAGAGAGACATTCTATGTTCGTGGATCGTCAAGATGTCAGTTCTTGCCAACTTGGTCTATAGAGTAAAAGCAATCCCAATCAAAATCCCAGCAATTTATTTTGTGGATATTGACAAACTGATTCTAAAGTTAATATGGAGA